CAGCCGCCCGGCGCGCAACAGCCTGGCGCCCTCCAGCACTCCTGCGGCGCCTCAGGGGCCCCCCGGAGGCACCGCGGCCGGCCCGCGAACCCGGAGGAGGACCGAGCCCGAGCCTGCCAGAAGCCACTTGACAGCGCCCTGTCCTGAGTGGAGAAAGAGGGTGATATCAAAGGAGACCCACCCCGCACAGGTGGCAGCAGCGGCCCAGCCTGGACCTTCGGCTCCGAGCCGGGGAGTCTGTCTGCAGCCTGGCGGGCCCAAGACTTCCCGGGAATTCTGGGCTGTGCACAGAACCCGTGAGCCCTGCTTCCCCTTCTGTGCCCTACACCATCTCGGAGGGACCCTCCAGCACAGGCTGTTTGTTAAACTCACGGATGGTCCCCACGTCCAGGGAGGGCAGAAGGTGCCAGGGCCCACAGCCAGAGGGCCCACAGCCAGTGACGGAACAAGCAGGGAAGGCTCTGGGGTCCAGCCACAGGAGGAGCCAGGGAAGAAACAAGGACCTCCCTGACATCCAAACCAGGGAAAGGCGGAACAAAACTACTGAAACTCTTCTATCTGCTTCTGTGTCCAGAAGACAACTAGATCCGCCTGACGCTAGAAGCAGGAGGCTGGAGGAGGCCATCCGCGGGAAAGGAGAACTGGTGGATGGAGCCCAAGCTAGAGATGGGGGTCCCTCCGGGGCTTCTGCTACACCCATTTTCTGCAGGTTTTACCACCCCAACACCAGTATTTCACACCCTTCTGGTCGCTGAGAATATTTATTCAAAAACAGGGATTGAAAAAACTGTACAGAGTGTCTGCTGCTTGGGCCCCTGCCCCCCAAGCCACTCCCCAGCTACCCAGCAGGGCCCCCTCTTTGGGTTGCCCCTGACAAGCCCAGCCAGTCCATTCCAGTCAAAAAGGGTTATCCATGAAGCAGCAGGAATCTGCAGGGAGGTGGAGGGAAGCTTGGCCCCAGCCCTCCTTGACTCCCCCTGGGGGCAGTAGGTGGGGAGCCCTAAGGGTCGGAGAATACATGGATCCCCCGTGATGGGGCACTAGAGAGGCCCGCGGCTGCTCCCAGAGCTGAAGATGGGGTCCTCTGGCCTAGGGCTGCCGCAGCTCCCAGAACCCTGGGCCAGAAACTGCCCCTTCTCCAAGAGTAGGAACTCCAAAGACGGCAGGGTAGGGGGCGTATCCATGCGTCTGGCGTTAGCGGCTGCGTTTGGGACCCCAGGGTGGAGTTTCCTTGGACAGGTGGGATGTGGAGGCAGGAGGTCCTGCCTGCCCCCCCTGTGCCTCAGCTGGCCTCAGTAGGGGGAGAATTTCTGCCGCTCAGCTTTCTTGCTCCCATTGGCCGCTGCCATCTTGGCAGTGTAGGCCGCCAAGCCCGGTGGTGGCCCTGGGGAAGCAGGTGGTAGAGCCAAGAAGGGCACAGGCTTGAGGCCGATGAAGTTGGAGAGGGAGATGGCATAGGGTGTACCCAGCAGGCCTGGGGGAGCCGTGGGCAGGGCCGTCAGGGGCGGCGAGAAGGGGGCAGGCAGGTCTGCGGGGGCCGAGCCAGGCGTCCCCCCAGAGGTAGACTTGGCCGTCTCTAGACTGGAGAGAGGGACATAGAGGGGGATGAGGGGAGAGCAGGAGTGAGGCGGGGCAGTGAGGGAAGATAAAGGGCTTGAGATCAGCCAGAGACAAGAGACGCGCCGAGAGCAATGATGGGGTAGCTGCGCTTGCGGGAGGACCGGAGAGGTGGAAGCGTGAGGAGGAGGAGAGGGAGGGCACGCAGAGATACTGTGGGGGGAGAGGAGAAAGGAGGCTGCGGGCAGAGACCCGGGGCAGAGGACAGGAGGATGGAGCAGCAAGGGGCTGAGGGGAATGCCACGGAGATGTGAGGGTCTGGGGAGGCAGAGGACCAGTCCAGACAGAAAGGAGGTCAGCTCTCCCCTCCCCACCCGGGAGTGCCCACGCCATGCTCACCAGGCAGTGATGAGGTACTGGGCCAGGGCGATGGAGACTGGTGAGCCAGTGATGGTTATGTGCCGCTCACCAGCACCCTCCGCTTGGTTCCCGATCTTGATATGTGCCCCTGACATCTGCCGGATCTCGCTGATCTTGCTGCCCTGGCGCCCGATCACACAGCCAATCAGCTAGGGAAGAGGCAGAAGTTGACCCGGGCGAGGCCCAGAACCCCACGTCCCCCGCACCGCCAGCCACCACATCCCCTGCTCACGTCATTGGGGACCAAAAACTCCTGGGAGCTGGTCTGTGCACCGGGGTCCAGTCCTGAGGCAGAGAGGGGGAACGGAGTGTGCTGTGGTCCTCTCTGAACCCCACGTCCACCAGAGGGGGGCTGCCCCGCCTCTCGGCCTGCCCCAGCCTCCTCCTGCTTACCTGGCACCACGCTGGGTGAGGCAAAGGGGACCGCATGGCCCGAGAGCTGCTGGAGCTTGGTGACCTGTGCCCAAGAACAGGGGTCAGAAGTCAGAGGTCAGAGCAAGCTTAGTTCAAAGCGGGGTCTTCGGCTGTGGCTCACTCACCTCAGCAGGGGTCACAGCTCCATACTGACCCTGAACAGAGAAGCCCTGTGGGGACATAGCAGGTGAGGAGGCTGCTACCGTGGCAGGTCAGGGTAGGTTGGCCAGGGTCACCCTCCCTCTCCACAATTCCCTCTTCCAGCCCCTCCTCCAACTCGGCCCCCCTTCTCCAGTAAAGCTTCCCGCCCCTCCCGCTGTTCACTTACCTGGTTGGCAGAGAGGAGGACAGTACCTAGAGAGAGGCTCGGATGGTATGGGATAGTGGCTCCTTTGGGTGGGGACTGGAAGGCACAAATGGGGCTTTTTGGGGACCCTCCCAGGCCCCAAATGCCCAGTAGCCAGGTCCCCCAGCAGGACTCCCAGATAAATGCATCCCCCTACTTGGGAGCTCATAATTTACCCCTGCAGCTCCACCCTGCCCAACCTGGTGCCACTGGGCCCATCTCCTGCCCCCTCTTTCTCTGCCCCAGGGCAGCACCTCCAGAATAACAGCACAGATCTGGCGCACACACAAGATGATGGCATCAGGCACCCCGGACACAGTGACAGCACGCTCTGTGGAATTAGGGAGCAGGTCCCCTGCCACCTGCACCTGGGCACCTGTAGTCTGCAAATGGAAAACAGAGGCTACTTCTGGCTGCTCCAACAGCCTGTAGAAGGGCTCCTGGGCTCAGAGCCCTCCTAGGAGTGTGAAGCCATAAGCACAAGAGCCTCCTAGAACTAGAGGGTAGGAAGTCCCCGTGGAGGGCATCCCTCTCCCCTTACCTCTCGGATCTCCTTGATCTTGGTGCCAGCCTTCCCAATCAGGGAGCCACACTGGCTGGCAGGGATGACAAGGCGCAGAGTCACTGGAGGCCTGGACACACTGCCACCATTTGCAGGAGCAGCACAAAGGTCCTGGAGCAGGGAGACGGTAGGTTGGCCACGCCCCTTCTCCTCTCCCAGCCCTCCTCAAGCACCCTCCTGCTGAGGACTTTGGCGGGTACCGCTCCCCCTGCTCCTCAAGAGAATGCTACCCAGGCTTGATCTCTCCTCCCACCCATAGCCACTGCCTGGAGTCAGGGCCCTGCTCCTCCCTTCCACCCAGGAACCACGCTTGAGCTCCCATCCGGCCAGCTACAGACCTCATCCAGCTTGAAAGCAATCATGGACACTGCATGGAAGACGGCGGCTGTGGAGCCAGTGATGGTGGTGATGCGCTCAGGGCAGGAGCCCTCGGAGATGGTGATCCGGGCACTGCTCTGCAGGTATAGAACGAGTGCCAGGTAACAGGGCACATTCCCCACTCACCAGGCGTCAGTCAAGGCTGGAAACCACCATCCTCTCAGACACCCAGTGCTCTTCCCAGATAGAGTGGTTCAGGGGTCTCCCCTACCTCCATCAGGTACCCTGGGCTCCTCCCCAGCTTCCTCCTCACCTGCTCCCTGATCCGCTTGACAGTTTCTCCCTTCTGCAGGAGGCAAAACAGAGAACCACGCTTAGCCTGAGCCGCCACCACCTCCTTCTCTGGGCTGAGGGGGACACAGCAGCCCACACTGGACACCTACCTTCCCAATTATGCTGCCCACCTCCTGCAAACAAGGTAAGAATGGAGTCAGATGGGTGTCGATGCCCTGGGTCTGGCCCCTTCCCTCACCCAGGCAGAGGTCCACTGAAGACAGGACTCCAGAGATCACTCTGCACTGGCTGGGCGACCCAGCCCCTCCTGCTCACCTTCCCATGCATCAGCATCCGTAGCGTGAGGGTGATGCTAAGCTCTGGCTCCTCCTCCAGCCCCGCATCTGAACTGCTCATCCTGTCAGGCGGGGCTGGGGCCACAGTGGCCTGGGGGTGTGTCCACGCTGTGGCCTGGCCGGGTCTGGGAGGGGCATGGAAAAGGGTCACAGAGGAACCCAGTTCACCTGCCCCTGCCCTTACAGGAGGAGCCTGGCCAGAGCAAGCTAGCCAAACTCCCAGGGAGGGAGACAGGGGGATTCTGAGCTCCCAATGTCCCTCTGGCCAGCGTGCCCATGTGCGCCTCGCAAGCTGTGTAACCCTGGACAGGCCACTTAACCCTTCTGGGCCCAGCTTCCCCACCTCTGAAAGCAGTACCTATTCTCATCCACTCTCAAATTAGGACAATTTAAAAAGCACATACACAGTGGGGACCCAGTTTCCCTGTCATTCCCTTCCTCTCATAAATGAGGAGTGCTGGGCTATAGCTCAGTGGGAAAGTTCTTGCCTACCATGCACGAGGTCCTGGTTTCAACCCCAACACCAATCAATCAATCAAAAAATTAACTAGGAGACCTATAGGAGGACTCCAGAAAGGACAGCCCTGTCCTCAGTCTCTTGAAAGAGAAGTCCCCTGTGGACTGGGCCCTGAAGGTAGACTTAAGGTTTAAAGATTACTCCAAACGAGAGCCCAGCTGTCCGAAGGGCGGAAGACTGGCTGCAGCGGGTGCTGGAGCAGCCATGGGAGGTCCTAAACGGAGGCAGCAATAAAGCCGGTGAGGCTCTAGACCGAGTCCTCTTGCCCCTGCCTTCGCCCGCCTCCAGAGGCTGGGCCCAGCTACTAGAGAGAGGCTGCTTACGGACAGCTCTGAGCAGGGCGCTTTCAGCACCGGGCTGGGGGTGAGAGAGGGGGTCCGGAAGTCTGCACAGTGGTGTTTTCACTGCCTCCCTATGTGCTTAGAATGGCCCTGGCACAGGAGGTGAGAAGCACCCGGGCGGCCCACGTTCCCCACGTGGACACTTTCTACTATACCAGAAACAAACCCTGGACCTCAATTTCCTCACCCATACAATAAAGAGGGTGTGTCCCACCTCTGTCTCCTTGGGACTGGATGATGGGTAAGAAAGGGATTCAGTGGGCCTCGGCTGTGTCAAGGCCACTAACTGCCTGAGGAAGGCGGAGCCTGAGATTAGCTCCTGGGATTAGCTCTGCCGCTAACCTTCCCCACAAGACCCCTTCGCGCGCCCCCGCTTAATCCTGAACCTTAATCCTGCTTGGAAATCCTTCTCCAGCGGCTGTCTCCCGCCAAGGCTCAGCCTTGCTGGGGAGCTCGCTGGGAGCCCAGAACTCAAGGAGGCTTGGGAGTGGGACCAGCTGGTGCCAAACCCAGGCCAAGACTGAACCCTAACCCTGAACACTCTTTCTGCCTTAGGGGCTGGGAGTGGGTGGGAACCATGAATGCATAACCGGTTGGAGCACGTGGGCGCTTCTGGGTACTGTCTCCCTCGGCCCGCATTCTGTCCTGACACGAGGGTCAAGGGCATGGGGCTCTCTCCAGTGCCCACTTCTGAATGTCCCTTGCTGGTCAGGGCTTGGAGTGCAATGGGAAAGCCTGAGCGACCAGTGCACACAAGTCTCCATATACCCACCCACGGCGCGGAGGCCAGCCCCACTCCTCCTTCCATGAGCTCTGCAATGAGCTCTCCAGAGAGCAGCAGCAGATGAGGGGACTGTGCGCCCTGGCATCCCAGCCAACCTCGGGCGCTGGCTGCCCTTGCTAACATTCCCCTGGCTGCCTGCACTTTCCCCCATCAAAGCACTTGTGATGACGCGCTTGGTTTCTGCCTCCCTGGACAGCCAAGCCCGGGAGCCCTGAGAGCAGGAGCCAAGGCTGCCGGCTTCTCCTTGGGTCCTGAGGGCTCAGCTCAGAGCCAGGCCAGAGAAGCTGCTCACACATACCGACAGGTAACTGAGCAGATGAATTCACTGTACAGAGTGGAAACCTGATACCTAGAGAGGGTCTGCAGCCCGGCCAAGGTCACCGGGAGAAAAAGTGCGGAGGATCGGCAAGGTCCTTCCTGCCAGCGCGCGGCCACCCGGGCGGCGTCTGGTCCTCTCCCTGGCTGCTCCTGTCTGGGTCTGCCAGCCCTCTCCCCAAGGATGACCTTTTCAAAGGCGGGCTCTAGGCTTCGGCCAGCTAGGAGACCCTTGCGTGGCTAGTGAACATGGGTCCGTTTGCAAAGGGCTATCAGCTTGTCCAAGGCTGTGGTCTTAAACTCCAGAATTTTGTGGAGGTGTAGGGTCCCCTTTGGGATAGTAACCAGTGGGAGTCCTGACACTGTCCCCACACATCTCGTCACCTCTTGAGGCCCCAGGAAAGACAGGGTGGCAGGCGGTATACAACACGGCCAGAACAGGAGCTCCCACATGAAAGGGACACCTGAGCCTGCGGCAGAGGCCTCAACTGCCTCGAATCCAGGGGGCGACGGTGACCTAGGCCTCCTCTGACCTGGACCTCGGTCTACCCACTTCGTACATGTTTGGGAGCTGAGGGCGGGAGGAGGTTGCTGGTCCCTGTACCCTCCCTGTTCCGAAAGACCCTCAAATTCTTTCCTGTCTCAGGGAGAGAACAAAGGGTCCTGACTCACCTCTCAAAATTATTCTCCTAAGGCCCTAAAAACAAGCAGCCCCATTAGGCACTGCCCGCTCCCCTGCCCTCACAGGGGCTCCAGGGAGTTCTTCCCAGTCTGATGGGCCATGGGTCTCTGCTGGGCCAGCCTCCTGGCAGCCACACATCATGCCACACTGACCTCCAGCTCACCTCTGATCAGCAGGGCTCCCTGGCAGAACACACCAAGCTCAGACCAGCCTCTCACCTCAGGAGTCCCCTCTGCTCCCCAGACCCCTCCCCAGACCAGCGCCCACTCCTGTCCCTGGCTTCCTGCCACTCAGGCCGGAGGGCGCGGGGCGGGGGTGGGGGTGGAATGACAGCTGTGTAAGCGATGGCGGCCGCCCCCTTCCTGCCCCTCCCCCCCAGCTGTCTCTCTCCCATGACAGCTGCCCAATCAAAGGGCTAGGGGCTTAGCCAGCTCCCCCCACAGGCAGGGATCAAGTGTCCACCCTGGCTTTGTTCTGGAGTAAGAACAATCCAGCGGAGGGGAGGGCTCCTGGGGCCGGCAACTCAAGTAGACTGGCCCGCCCCTTGGGGGATTCCCTCCACTCAGCTGGCTGGAGTGTCTGGACCAGTGAGGGCCTATGCACCCACCTGGGCTAGCAAGAGAGCTGCATCCCCCTCAGCACTCCCAGCTCCCAACCCAGCGGCGTCCTTCTATTCTCACTCAAAGGCAGCCACGCTGGCCACACCCAGTGATGCTGGGGAAGAGCTCTGAGCATCAGGCAAGGCAGGGCGTGGCAGGGTGGACAGCGGGGGTGGGGGGTGGGCACTGAGGGCTCTTCACGCCCCGGCCGGCCCCTACTCCAGGGATGCAGGCCTTGCTGATTAACCAAGCCCTGCAGGTTCTGCCCTAGCATCCTCAGACCCATGGACCAGCCTGTTTTCAGCTTCCCATGATGCCCCATCACATCTAACTTTGGAGGAAGGAGGCTTAGGAGGAGACTGCAGGAGAGCAGCCTGGGCTCTACAAATTCCAGGCTCTGGGTTCTTGACTCAGGTATGTCTCACAGCCAAAGTGCCCAGCAGGGAAGGGGCCCTGGGAAGGGAAGCCTGGACAAGCTCACAGGTGCCAGAAATGCTATGGCCTCCTCCTCATCATTAGTCTTCAGAATCAAGGAAAACCAAGGTAAGCTAGGCCCAGGCCCAGGCCCAGGCTGAGACAGGAGCACAGGAGAAAGGCCACACCCTCACGGTGCAGCCCAAGTCATTGGTATCCACTCCTTGCGTACCCAAATGGAGCAAATGTCTCCAGCATCCGCTCTCCCTGCTGCAGACTCAGTGCTCACTCTGCTGCTCAGGAGACATCCATGGCTCCCTAGTAGCCAAGGAATAAAGCTTGATCTCTTTGAACTGGGATCAGGTCCCTTCATGAGCCGGCTCCTGCCAGCTTCTCTTGTCTCATCTCCATCCCATCCCCCAAACAGACCAGGCTCCAAAACCAGGCCAGGCACCTCCAGGCCTCTGGGCTGGTGACCCCAGCTTGAAATACCCACCCTCCCCACCCTACCACAGTCTTTCTCAAATGCCGTCTCCTCTATGGAGCCTTCCCCAACCTTCCAGTCAGATGTAATCACTGGGCCTCCACACCTCATGGCACAACTCAAAGCAATCCCAGTGGGGCTCTCTGAGCCTGTCTTCCCACCTCACAGAGCGCTCCCAGGAGGATGTGAGATCTAAGACCAGGCTTAGGGTGAGGGAGAGGAGCTAGGGCTCACAGGCCTACGGGCTGCAGGCACCTTAGGCTCACAGTCCTGGGACTAAGGGACTAGCCACATGGGCAGAGCCAGGACCTGCCTGCAGTGTGCCCTGCTCCTTCCTGAGCACCCTCAGCCCCAGCTCCTGCTGTCTTCCCAGGTCTAGAGGCTCCCTGGGAATGTTGCTGGGGTGAGGAACAGGGGCTGGTGTGAGACTTCTGGGAGGCCGACAGGTTCCCTAGGAGGACAGGGGCTGCAGAAAGCCTCGGAGCGGGGGGCAGGTTTCACAGAGCTGCAGGACTCGGCCGTCACAACTCGGAAAGCCTCAGCAACTGAGAGAGGAACTGAGACCCAGAAAGGGGTTGTCTGTAGGGCTGCACCAGAGGCAGCTGGCAGCCTGGGACAACCCGAGGCCCACCTGCGCAGTGCAGCCCCTTCCTCCATCCTCCTCCAAGAGGCCAGTGCCACTGGGCAGTGGTGATGGAGGCCGCAGAGGGGGCAGTGACGGGGCTGGGGAGGTGGACAGAGCCTGCCTGGGGACACAGGGTGGGGCTTCCAGCCTCCACAGGCCCGGACTGCCAGGGTGTGTGGGCTGCCTGGTCCCAGCCCCCCACCCTGAGCATGCCAGGAGAACAATCCCCTTGTGTTTGGGCAGCCTGAGCCTGCATGCTGATGAAGCCTGGGGGTGGGGGCTGGGATGGGGGCGCCTTGGAAGTTGAGGGGGTTCCAGGACCTAGAACGGTTAGATCTTCAGCTGGGGAAACAATAGGGTCTCAGGTGCCACCCGAGGGTGACCCCAAGAAACAGGGCCAAAGCTCAGCTCCCGGGAAGTGCCTGGGGCCTAGGAGCCCTTTGTAGGGGAAGGAGCGCCTGGGGACAGTTTCCTGCAGGTCCAGCGTGAAGGTGACCATCCTGGGCTTGGTGGGGACACAAAGCCCCCGTGCTAGGACAAGGCCCAAGGGGCATCCCTTTGAAGACCACTCTCCTGGGCACTGGGGTGGGGTGGGGCCCTGGGTGCCACAGGTCTCAAGATGGCGGGCCTGGGTCAGGAGAGTGAGGAGGTGGCCACCTCCCTCTTCTGGACTGGCGGGCGCAAGGGTCAGGCTGGAGTAGCACAGGCCCCTCTCCCACCTCCCAGGACCCCAGCCACGAACATAGGTCAGAGCCCAGGCGCTGAGGAAGGGCGAGAAGGCCCACTCCGCGCCCCAGCTGTGGTCTCCGCACACCCTTGGCCTGGAGGCGTGTGTGTCTGGCTCCTCCCGGGACTGCAGAGAACGGGAAGGGGTGTGTGCCAGCCAGGAGCTGCAGGAGGGTGGCAGAGCAGCAGAACCCGAACCCAGGGCAGCAGGTGAGAAAAGAGCAGCTTCAAAGGCCCGGAACAGCGGGTGGGATGGGGGCGTCAGGGCTGGTAACTGAGGTCCAGGAAGCCCCTCCCAGGCCCGGGGGCTCCTCCGGCAGACCAGCGCCCCCCACCTGTGCAGGCCTCGGCCGCACGGGACGGGGAATGTGCTCCTCGCAGCCTCCCGGGGCCCTAAGCTGTGGACCGGGGCGCGGGCTCCCCGCCCCCAGCCGAACCCCCAAACTTCGCGGCCCGCCGCGCCCCGCCCGGCCGGCGCCCTACCTCGCTGGGGCTGTCCTGCGACGGCGGCGCGGCGGCTGGGCCGCTCAGTCCCACATTGTCCCCGGGAGAGGCGGCCGCTCACAACTGCGAGTGACATCAGCTGCGAACAATGAGGGGTTTGACAGGCGCGGAGCCCGGCCGGCCCGGAGCCCGGCTCCGCGC